GTTCTTCGAAGAAATCTGCCTACGGTGAGGGGCTGCCCATCTTTTCGTTTGTTTTGATTGGGGGCTACATGGACATAGCGGGGGAGAGGGACTGCTTGATCGCCAGTCTTGGGGTAGCGGAGGTCTCATATCTATTTTTTCTTTAATTTAAGCTTATCCATCATTTTCCGTGCACAGTTTCGCATAACGCGGCTTAGCTCTGTATTCTAGACTTTTCGTAATCCCATGGTGTCTAGGGCTCCTGCAATAGCGCCCTTTGCCCTTCATAGGGATAAAAGTGCGCGTTGTGATGGGCTATCACCAAAACAATAAGAACAAAGTTAGCTGGCCGTAATACATTCTATTTTCTAATTATCTAGGAAATGGTATCTATCTAGGCTGTAGGACATATACAGTCAGACCCCTGTTAAGACGATATTTTTTGCGGAACAGACTTCGTTCCCACACATTTACCGATTACACGATTATCGTTCTTGAACCTCTGAATATCGTCTTACCCAGGGTTTTTTTTGCTAGATTGGTGCTAACAATGCCGCCAAAAAAGGGAATTTCTGTGGAGCAACGACGTGCTCTGCGATGATGGGCGCATCGCCAGGCACCAAAACCAACACAAAAACAGTGCATTGAGTGGTTCTTAGCTGAGTACGGCCATCGATTAAGCCAGTCCACAGTCTCTGAGTCCTTGAGCAAGACCTTTGCGAAACTCGACGAAGCTACAAGTACTACTGCGCTACGACAGCGAGCTGAAAACTGGCCTGACCTTGAGAGTATTCTCTTGGAGTGGCAAATACGAGTTGAACATGGAGGAGTGATTACAACTGGCGATTTGCTCTGTGAGAAGGCAAAGCAGATCTAGACACAACCACCACAGCACGCTAGCCAACCGTGCACTGGATTCAGCCCTCGCTGGCTTGAGAATTTCAAGAACCGAAACCATATTCAGAATCGGGTACGACACGGTGAAGTTGGTTCCATTCCAGCGGCTGCAGAAGCCGAAATGGAAGCTTTACAGACAATTGCAGGAGAGTTTGAGGAAGAAAACATATATAATATGGATGAGTCAGGTCTCTTCTGGAAAATGCTACCTTCACGTGGGCTATTGTCACAATCTCGACTCGGGCTCAAGAAAAACAAGGACCGAGTTTCTCTCTTTTTTTGTACGAATGCTACAGGTTCTGACCAACTTCCCATTTGGATTATTGGCAAATATAAGACGCCTCGGGCCTTGAAAAACGTTAGTATTCAGACAATGGGTGGCAAGTGGAGGTGGAATTCCAAAGCATGGATGAATACAGCAATTATGGGCGAGTTGCTTCAAGAATTCTATCGCCACATTGGAAATGTCCGAGATGGACTATTGACAATGGATAATTTTTCTGCCCATAATTCTGCCGTTGAATTATACCCTCCTCCGTCAAACATCAAGATCTGTTGGCTTCCAGCTAATAGTACAAGCCGGTACCAACCTCTTGATCAAGGTATTATTCAGAACTGTAAAGTATTCTACAGAAGGTACTGGCTTCGCTTTGTTCTACAAGCAATTGAAGAGGGTACAGATCCACAATCAACTGTCAATATTCGACCAGCAATTCGCTGGATCTTACGAAGTTGGAATAACGAAGTTACCAATACAACGATTCATAATTGCTCTCGGAAACCGACGCTTATTTCCAAGCCAATTGCTCTTCCTATGTCTATATTTCCGATTAGACTTTCTGAATTGTTTAATGAGTTAGTCAGAGCAGGAGATATGCGAGACTCAAAGGCAATAGACAATTTTCTTAATCCAATTGAGGAGGAAGAGGAAGAGAATTTGATACTTGACGAGGCAGCGATCGTACAAGAGGTTATAGGGGAAGATATGGGAACAAATCAAGACGGAGAAGAAGAGGTATTACAAGACGAACAGCCTTTGCGGACAGCAAAAGGGGCCGAAGTGGCTCTGAAAATGCTGATTGAGTTTACTGAGAGTCAAGATTCTCTTAATTCGAGCTACTTAAGAGTGTTAGAGCGATTAGAGATGGCATTTGGGAGTATAAAAGAGGCATCAAAAGTAGAAAGTAGCCAAGAAAGCTGGATTAGATAATCATATCCTTCTCAGCGATATCCTCTGTTTGACGATATTTTTCACGGCCCCGATTAAATCGTCTTAACAGGGGTCTAACTGTATACATGTAGTTCTGACCCCTGGGAGGTTAATATCCATCGGATCGCTGATCAGCCGCATTCTTGGGGTGATCTATCGACGATTCGTATTTGTCAGATCGGCGATCACTTATAATCTCATAAACGAACATCGGCGATTAGTACACAGATAGGCACAAGTACATGGATGTTTTGTTTTGTTCATTAACGTGCTAGGTATAGTGATTCCCGTTGCACTTCTACTGGAGCTTAAGCACCGGTGGGGCCGAGCTGGATCAGGTTAACTACCATTAAGTACTTCTACCTCGTCCCACCTAAATGACCGGACCACCTCAGAATTCACCCATGTGTTAATTCGTGTCAAGCCCAACAGTCCAGAGAACCCCCTTTTGGCGCGCCGAATCGCAAGTTCCCCCTCAGCCTCGGCCACCACGCGCCCGAGCCCTTGACACCTTCGCCATCTGTGACTTTTTCCTTCGTTTCATTCCCAGCTTTGGCTAATCTCAGCATCTCCTCATCTCATCCAAGAGTCGTTTTCTTCACTGGAGGCCTCATCCAGTCGCACACCAAGGCCTCCTCAGTTTGGATTCCCTTTTGGTTCCTTCATGCAGCATCCCTCTGTTCTTCAGCCGATCTCGTCATACCAGAAACTTTGTAGAATGTCCACCCCTCCGGCCTTGCCCCATTACTGTCGACCCCTAACCGTGGAGGTCGAAAACGCGACTGAGAGCTCAAGACCAAGGCACCAGTGCCCCTGCCCTTGTCTAACGCTCTGGTTGCTGTGCCGGCGAAATATCGTACTTATTTCGTCGGTGGCGATTCGTCGCAGGTCGAGTTGTTGGTGCCCTTGGCCGAGGTGAGGACGCATTTAAGGCCGGTATTTCGACCGTACCTTCACAGCGGCTGGCAGTTGCGGAGGGTCGGAAATTCTCTTGCTTCTTAGTTAGTGATTTGGCTTTTGGAGGTATGGGATTGCTTTGGCAGGTGATGAGATGGTTATGGAGAGGGCCGCGAGATGAGTTTGGCTAGGAGTGATTTTCCAGAGAAATAGAAAATAAGATGTTGAAGGTGTCGGTTTTTGTGATACGAACATCAGACAGGTTATAGGCTGTCTGCGGTTCGTATCTGGGGTGTAGATGGTTGATTTCGTTGAGTTGTGCAGTCGTGAAATCTCTGCAAGTCGGATTTTCGACCGAAAATGAGACAACACCATTGCTCCCGACCACCAACTCGACGAAAACTCTCAAATTCACCCTTTGTCGTGACTGAATCTCGGCTCTTGGAGAATGTTTCACTCTCAGGTTCGTAGAGGATTCCACTGACAGGTGTTCAGCCTTCGTCCTCCGAATCAAGGGCTTTGTTGGTTAGGCAGTCAAAAGTGTAGTTGAAAATGTGTTACTTGACCTGCTGTTTAAGAAAGACGATGCGGCCATATTTCATGGCGAGTGAGTTAATGAGGAGAGACAGTCTAACTTATTATGAGCTAGCCCCATTGCACCTACAGGGCCAATCCCTTCAACAACCCAGTTTCAGGTTGGACGTTTTCTATTTTAGAGGCACTGTAAGGGAAAGCGCGCATTCAGACGGATAAGTGTGAAACTAAAGAATTAACAGTTTACACGCGGAGGCATATCTCCGAAAAGTGACGATATATCTAATTTGCAGATACCTGCATGTCGATTTGGATGTGTAGAGTAATCAAATTGCATTAAATTTGTAGGCTTTTATGTATGGAAGTGAATAGGAGGCGTAGGAAGAGACATACTACTGGCATAGGTGTCATTGGCCTGTAGACTGAGAGGACCTGCATTTTATACATAATCCTAGACTCAGACAGGACAATAAAATGAATTAATAATGTTTGGAAGTGAATACTAGTCTGTAAATAGGGGAGCTATTTTCAACACCTGTCAGTTGTATCCCTGATGAATCTTCAGCTTTCACTGTACAGTCTTCTGAGCGGGGGTTTAGTAACACCGTCGTCTTCCAATCGATGATGATTCCCAATCACTTTCGCGATCTGTACCGTCTTCGTCTCTCAACACATTCCCCTGTCACCAGTATCATGAAAATGACCATGATCACATCAGATGGCAGGGTTGAAGCCCTTCTCTTCACCAACACTTGATCATAGAGGAAAAGCTATCTGATTAGTTTCCGGAGCGTAACCAGCAACCGACACGGAGATGATGGATTGGATCAAGTCGGCCTCGACTGTTACAAAGAAGGGAGATATAGATGGATAAACGCACTTCGTGACACCGGTGTCTAGGCCTCGCCTGGCTGGGGCTGCAGTGTTTGTGAGACTTTTTCCCGCGCACGCAGTTTCCATTGCTACCATTGCTACCATTTTTATTTTTACTTATTTGGGTAGAAGGTTCCGTGAAAAATGTGGCTGAATTCCACGGGTAAATACTGAGCTGAATAGCTATTCATCACAGGCAATGTATCAATGATCTTAGGAAGAACATAAGAGGCAAGGAGCACTGTACAAGGTGTGGCCTGGGTTAGTAGTAGCTATCTGTGGTGGCTATTTATCGATTCAAGTGGCACAATAAATATACACACACTAGTCCGTACATGGGCAGTTTGGAGCTTTGAATTAAATCTAATTGTCTTACGATTGTTGGGCTCAACAATATCCGTACAGATCTTTACGCACAGACCCAATGTAACATGATCTTGAACGAAATATCGCTTAGCATAGAGTTCGACAGATTGATAACCACACACTTTAACATCAGCTTGACACGCAATAGTACATCTTTGCAAACAATCATCCAGACTCTCCGAATGACAAATATCATCTGATTTGTAACTTTAGAGCCCCTAATCTGGAACCATCTGCCGGCAAGATGGTTAATGAAGCTCATAAGGACAAATTAAACACCTCTGTCACATTAACGGTACACGCTATTCTCCGAAATTTACTCCGATACACTATATCGGTGAGAGAATACGATGCTATACACAAGCACATACTTGCGAGAAGTAGGCTAATACGAAGGAGAGCAATAAGCGTCAATAAATTTGAAAGGATAGTAGGCGGTGTGAAAGTAGAAGACTTCAGGTCCGCGGACAGTGGACATGGGTCAAGAGACGGAGGATCCAGTTACAATGATAGGCTAACATCTGGTGATGAGTATAATACAACTGCTATTCGGGAAAGCATTCGGGTATTTATCGGCACAGCTTTGGCCTTAAAGATTTGGAAGTACGTGAGATTAAGAGTATTAGGACATGGATGGAGCAGGTATGGCTTTCACACTCCAACCCAATCCTCTCTAACTGCTCACCTCTAGCCGGGAGAAGATCAACTTCTGGAAATCGTCATATTTCCGCCTCTCACTCTCCCTCAGCACGATTTTGCTGCTTCACCGTATCCTATACCGGTTTTTTACCCGACTACGCTCCCACTTGCTTGCGCCGTATGCCACACCTTTTCGTAAGAGAAACAAAGGTACAACGACAATACTTACCTCGCGATACTCTCCAGCTATCGGCGCTAGTCTCTCCGGTCTAGCTCTGGGTATTTATCCAGCGAAACAACTACGCACAGTAATAGCTATTTACACAATGAGTCGTGCAGCTGAATTCACATATAACCTCTCGATGCAAGAAGGTTGGATTTGGAAAGAAGGACGACCACCCTGGTGGGGAAGCTGGTTACTATTTCCTATAGCAAGTGGCCAATTGCTACATGCTTTTGTATATCACAGGGACCAATTTCCAAAGGTGAGCTTTAAATTCGTATCCAAGACATTTGTTGATCAAATGATAAGGAATACGGAGAATTTATTCTAAAATATTCACCCCAATATATTCAACAGCGCCCAGAAAATTACTCGGCCTCTCTACCATGGCCATCGCGATATACTATTGTTGATAATCTTGCTTCTATGGCGAAGCTCGGATACCCAGCATATACGTCTCCTATAGTTTTCCCTACGAATAAACCCCTATTTCCGGAGGTTGCGCCCATCACAAATTCTGCTCATCCAATGATTACTCGCATGCCTTGTGCTACGCTTCACCCAGCTGATCCTGGCTGCATGGAAACCTATTTTAAATATTGGATGAATGTATTTCCACAGTTGGCTCGATTCTTTACTATCATATTTTCCCTTTCATCACTTCTCGGTCTTATTATCAAGCCAAAAGATTCAAAGACTCTACTCAACGCACCAGTTTCTGTTCTCAGTCGACTTATTGAGCGCATTCTCCGATACTCAGTCTTCGCGTCTGGCTCCATTGGAACTTCTTGGGCTTCGATTTGCCTATTTCAGTACCTGTTACCGAACAACGTCGTCCCGGAGAGTAGGTTCTTTCTTGGTGGTCTCCTTGGCGGACTCTGGGCTTGGTTTGTGCGTCGCGATGCTCGAAATGAGTTTTTACACTCCTTGCGCGCTAGTTTTCTCAGCTATTGGCAGGTGGGGAAAAAGCGAGGCTGGTGGCACGGAATCCGGGGAGGTGATGTTTTGATTTTCGTTGGCAGTTTGGCATTACTTAATTCAGTCTATGAGCGTGACGGGGGGAGAGGGATAGTAGACAGTACTATTGCGCGAATGATGCTCAGGGGTGTCAGGGGTGACGGTTGGCGAGGTGACATCTCGAAAGAAAAAAAAGATGCGACCTATGAGGTCTGAATAATTAAATCACACGTGGGTTAATGACTAACGAAAATAATGATAATGACTTTGTATTGTTTATCTCTGAAGGTCCTAATCCAGTTCCCCGAATTCACTACAGGTACCGGACGGGTAGAAACGGCGCGGATCACTGTGAACAGACCTAGATTATTATTATCATTATTATCCATTTATCTCCTAATTGAATCACGAAGTGGGAAGTTCGCAGAGAGGTAGCCTTGGGAGTATGAGATAGATTGATCATGGTAGGAGAAACAGGAGCAACTACAGCGAGCTCCAGGAAGACTATTCTCAACACCTGTCAGTTGTATCCCTGATGAATCTTCAGCTTTCACTGTACAGTCTTCTGAGCGGGGGTTTAGTAACACCGTCGTCTTCCAATCGATGATGATTCCCAATCACTTTCGCGATCTGTACCGTCTTCGTCTCTCAACACATTCCCCTGTCACCAGTATCATGAAAATGACCATGATCACATCAGATGGCAGGGTTGAAGCCCTTCTCTTCACCAACACTTGATCATAGAGGAAAAGCTATCTGATTAGTTTCCGGAGCGTAACCAGCAACCGACACGGAGATGATGGATTGGATCAAGTCGGCCTCGACTGTTACAAAGAAGGGAGATATAGATGGATAAACGCACTTCGTGACACCGGTGTCTAGGCCTCGCCTGGCTGGGGCTGCAGTGTTTGTGAGACTTTTTCCCGCGCACGCAGTTTCCATTGCTACCATTGCTACCATTTTTATTTTTACTTATTTGGGTAGAAGGTTCCGTGAAAAATGTGGCTGAATTCCACGGGTAAATACTGAGCTGAATAGCTATTCATCACAGGCAATGTATCAATGATCTTAGGAAGAACATAAGAGGCAAGGAGCACTGTACAAGGTGTGGCCTGGGTCAGAGAGGAGCCCAATGTGCTAGATAGTCATAGACTCAAGTAGTACAATAAACGGACTTCTCTTCTGGAATGCAGCAAATATCTTTACAGATGAAAAGACAGGAATGAGCCAAAGAGGAACACCTTCCAGTATCCATAAAAACCTGAGCAGGGCCCAGAGCAGCATAGCCATGCAGATAAGAAGCGAACACATTGGGTTCAATTCCTATCTGCACAGAAGAAAAGTGCCCAGAGTAGACAATCCACGATGCCCATGTGGATATCCGTCTCAAAATGTAAAGCATATGGTCATGGCCTGCACTAGCTGGGCCAAAGGAAGAGGAGAAATACTAAGAAAGGCAGAGAACCGGTCATTTGAAGCCATGATGAATTATCCAAAAGATATAGCAAGGATTACAAAATGGATCCAGCGGGAAAAATGGCTAGAACAGTTTTGACTGACTGTTGAAGTCGAGGCTATAATGAGGGAGAGAGAGGAGAGCAGGGGAAAGATGATCTCCTGCCAATAGCAATGAAGTGGACGGTATCCGCACTGGATATAACAGTATTAGTGCACTTCATGAAGGTAACACAACTTTAAAAGTGTATATAAATCGAAAATTTGAGGGGGTCTTTACCGTAAAGGTATCCTCTTAAATAAATATTAGAGTTCGTAGACACCTGCATGGGCCTCAACGCGCCAAATCGGGTTAATTGAAATCATAATCAAAAGAAGGACTTCTCTGTCTTTGTAATGTGGGTAGGCTGTTCTCACATGACTTAGTGCTGTATGCTATGTTATACGTGTGGCAGATACGCCCGCAAGTTAGTAGAACAAGGAACATCACATCATCGAGAAACATATTGCGGACGCAAATACGTATATATTACCAACCGACACAGTTGTTATTACATTACAACAGATGTATTATGGCTAGAGAGCTGAACATATAACGAATAATTTAGTTTCTAAAGATCCTCGATATCTTCATGTTAACGCAAATAATTCGTTTAATTATTGATAAAAGCAAGACGTTGGCATCAGACACCTTAAGATCTACTAGTTCACTTGCAGAGTCAATGAAGATCACAGTGTCCAAGGAGTTCCACAAATACAACGTGATGCGATAGAGAAGGACCAAAACTAAACAGTTGTCGGCGGCTTCCCCTTCCTACCTGAAGATTTATTACCCTCCTGAGAAAAATTTCATATATATTCCGCCATACCAAAATGGTGGCCCAAGAGACAATGACTCAGGATTCTTACTCTTCAAGGTTGATAATACATATGTTATTATGCATATGGGTGTGACGTGCTAGGACTTTCGGTCAGTGCACGAAAGCAATGCCACAATTAAATGCCTGGTTTAATGTCAAGGTATGTCTGGTTGGTGCAAGAATGAGCCAAGCCAGTCAAAGTTACACTTATGAGTCGCGTTGAGAGTGAGTGTTTATTGTCCTAATGAGTCTTTAACTATGTAAGGACATGTAGATCCTTTCTGCCTACAGGTCAGGAGTATCTATGCCTCCTTCAAGACCTCTTTCCAGCAGTAATATCCCCACAGGTCTTCATTCGAGGACAAACTAAGAGGGGCGTTGAATTTAAGCGATAATTTTGATGTAAGTACCTGCTTCTCTTTGACGTCTGATATCGCCTTTTCGATCCCTTTCTACTCTTTTGTATAGAAATCAGGACTAGCAAAAATAAGATTATTATGGGTCTGCATACCAACTATGCTAAATCCGTGGTATTTGGCATTCTTATTCACAAGCATAACACATGGATCGTAGTCGAAGATACCATATGTTTAAGGGAGACGTCTCAGATAGATAATATCACTGGGTAGGAGTTATGATATACAGGTAGGTCGAATAAGTGGGTAGTCTCCAACAGGTAATTATGATACAAGAACGTCGTATGCCCAAACCCATCGGCAGTAAAGCGACTAGTTATACTCTAGGTAAAACTGAGCTAAATCTTTCTCCCAACTCATACGATAATTCAGCATTACACGAGATAAACTTTGAACTCAACCTATATGATAACCAACCCATATGCTATACGCTAAGACTAGTATTTGGCAGGGGATGATATTGATCTAGATGTACTTCCTGACAGCAGCCCCCTTCTACGAGATTGTCGTCTCAACATTAGTCAATACTTAATTCAAAGTAGTGTCAATCTCCCTATTCCTAGTGTCAAAAATGGCCTCTGAAATTTCATTCACTGTAGGTCTAGTCCTGCGAGGGTGTAATCGATGGTAGTTATCCAGTAATTCAGAATTATTTACACTCACGATATCCGATAGTGGTTACCGAGATGTTTCGAACAAGCCCGTATATTTTACCCTATACTCGAATCCACGATTCTTAAGGCGCCTGAATCCTACTATAGTATCTACTTCATACAATTCCTGTCCAAAATCGTCAATTTTGACAGCGGAGTTTGGCTCATTGGTTTGGCCTTGCACCGGGTTATGTGAGTCGGGTCGTAGAAGGCTCGTATGGAATACTGTGTGGATGGAGTTTAAGTATTCGGAAAGCTTGAATTGGTAATTATGACTACCCACTACCCGGACAATTTCAAAAGGACCTATATTTTTCCAGTAAAGTTTCTTGCACGGTTGCTTGTAAAATTTTTTACATTAATGAAAACTTGATCGCCGATCTGATATGATGGAAGAATAGCTCTATTACGTTTCCCATAGTTTTCATATAATTACTGAGATACCTTCACATTTTTATGCAAAAACTCGTTTAAGTCGGTTGTCTGGCTAATAAAATCATTCGCTGATTTCTTTTGGACTGTTAAGTAAGTAGACTTTGAAGGGGTTTCTAGTAGTCTAGGTGGTGTTATTTCCGTCCTTGGATGCTGTACTGAGTTGGCAAAAATGGGGTGGCTTTTGTGGTCTTAGACTCAGTATTATTAGCATTGAACTCTGCTGATGGAAGCCAGCTAACCCAGTCATCCTGTTGGTAATTGCAGTAGGCTCTAAGGTAACACTCCTAAATTGCATTGAATCTTTCGGTTTAGCCATCTGTTTCTGGGTGCCAAGCTGTAGAAAGGAGGATTTTTGTGCCAGTCTGCTCACATATTTAGTGCCAAAAACAAGAAACAAATTGAAGTCCCCGGTCAGACACTACCGATTCTGGGAATCCATGAAGCTTCCAGATATATCTGTAGAATAGCCTAGCTATTTCTGCTGCGTCAATTTTTGTGTGGCAGGGAATGAAATATCGGGCTTTTGAGAGCCTAAATCCCACGACCATTATATAGTCATACCTCTCTGGTTCAGGTAAAGGACTAATAAAGTCTACAGATATGTTTCTTCAGCGACGTTGGGGAATCGAGAATTGTTTCAATAAACCTTGATATTTTAATCTAGAAGGGGTAATCCTCTTACTGGTGTGTTAATTACTGGTGTACTGGGAGATAGTTTGAAGCATATTTAACAAGTAATATCGCGTGAAATTTCGGCAAATACCTTGATCCGCCCATGGTGGTCACCACTTGGGTGGTCAGGACAACTCTTGATCAATAGGAGTTTTAACTCCAAATTATTTGGAACAAATATCATATTATTTTAATGCAACAAATTATCTTTCACAATACAGCGAGATAGGTCAAGACGTTTAGATCGATGAGGTCCAGATCCTTTGAGAATTTTCATATAATTCTGGATGCTAGTGTCCTCAAGTTATCCCTGGATCAATAATATTTTGATTTTTTCAGAGGTGGAAATAGTTTCTTTCAAAGGCTCGACTGTAGTTTGTTCAAGTTGGGGGTCACGGTCCAGTATGGTTTTTGGGTCAAAATTATGCTATTTTAGTAACGTCTGATGCTGGTGTTGAAGACGTTCGTCCTTTTCTCCAGCTGGGAGATCTTCTGACCGTCTAGTTAACGCGTCTGGCTTAATGCCAGGTTTGCCTGATCGATAATTTATCACGAAGTTAAACCTTGAAAGGAACTCCAAACAACTTGCTTGACGCCGGTTCAGGATCTTGGTAGTCATGAAGTACTCGAGATTTTTATGATCCGTTATAACAGAGACTGGCCCAATAGTTCCCTCCAACTCGGGACGCCAGTTTTTGAAGGCTGTGACCACGGCCAACCATTCT